GTAGACCTCCGTATGTTATTCCAGCCCAGGGAGCTTCATTGAGGGGCAGAGAAAATGGGCTGACCTATGTCACATTCACAACACACTGAAAGGCCGCACCTGACAGCTGCTGTGTAGCCCTCTCTGAGCCTCCTCAAGAGAATGTGCGTAGGCATGTGACAAGGGAAGGATAGGCCAGACATGGGATATCATAACATGAAATTCTAAGAGTTTTCAGACGTGGTATTCCCCCTGCTTTTATCTTGAATTTTGAAAAAGAAATTCTATTGCTTCTGGTTCAAACAGTTATTTGTAAAGTGTAACATCCCCCCTTCCCCACAACTAGTCATCTCTAAACTTATTCCTGCAACATTGAGATGCACTATTTTTGATGCTCCCAAGTCTGGGAGCGACACCACATGTGTGAGCCGCCATGAGCCGCATCTGCTGCAGCCTTGGAAGGCTGAGCCTGGAGGCTCTGCAGAGCTCGCCCAGCTCTCCTTCCAGCCAGAACCTTTCCTTGTTTCCAAAAGAAATTCTGGAATCACGACGACACAGAGGTGCAAACGCCTGTTCACTGCAGGGAGGTGGGAACTCTGAAGCCTGATGACCTTTAGACTTAAATGGCAATGGTGTTCACCTTTTCCCTGAGTCAGAAACATCTCACTTTTCTGGGGTGGGTGGGTGGAGCTGTGTCTAGAAGGTCCCGCATTGTCCAGAGGAGTCTTCCAGAAGAGAAAGAATGTTGCTCTTGCTGGAATATGCACATGGCACCCAGACTTTGGCCCAAGGAAGAAGTAGTTTCTTTGAAAGAGCACTAAAGATTGTTGTGGGGAAGAGTCAAAATAAAAAAGTGAATTAGTGATGATTCACAGGGAAAGAGGGGTGAAGACAAAGTTTGTTTAGGCAGGGGTTTTTGAAGTAGAGAGGCAATTAGTCTAAGTTGCTCACATAACCTAGTATTTATTCAAATGCTAGGCACTGCATGAGAATGGATGAATGGCTATCAGCAAGATGGGGAAATCTCCTTGCAGTTTAATTGAAGACTTTTAATTTTTATTTCTATTTGATGGCAGAAGTAAAGGTGTCTTAGGATAATAGATCAAAAATGCACCTTTGGTCTGACAATCACATTTGTAGTCAAACGTAAAACAATAGTTTCCCATTTGCTTTTCCCCATGGTGGGCATACATGCCCTAACATGTTAGGATAAGACTGTTGAGAATACGACACATGGAGAGAGTTAGTTCATTATGATGTAGCTGGACATTTCTTATGTCAGAATGGGTCATTCCAGAACCAAGTCAGACATCAACACAGGTCTCCTGGCCCCAGTAGATCCCAAGAGCTGGGAGTAGGGTAGTCTGCCTGAGATAGGCAATTAGAGAAGGCATCATCCATAGAGAGTTTAAGAACACTAATAAGACCAGATGAACGTCGGCCTGCTTTATATTATTACCATGACCGGTGATTCTGAGCATCTTCAGGGCTCAAACACCCCTCCCTGAAGGGGTCATCAGCTCTCTCTGCCCTCCCCCAACCTGGCAGATATGCTGTTGTCTGCCAGCCCAAATGGGGCAGATGTAGAAGAAGGCCCTGGCTTCCCTGTAGAAGAGGTTCTAAAATGATTTGACATGGAGGGTAAGGAAGTTCCCTCAGATTTTGTCTACCATTGTCACCAAGTTGCTGCTGTGGAATGATGATGGAACCCACACCTGCAGAGCACTTACTGCGTACCCGGCTGTGGCTCCACCATCCTCCCCTCGGGGAGCTCCCAGTCTAGTGAGAGAGGCAAAAATCCCACCACCCAGCGGCAGGGTGCGCCTGTGCCTATTCCAAGAGAGGGCAGAGTGGAGATATGGACTTGGTTCGAGAGGCCCAGGAAGGCCTCTTAGAAGTGTCTAGTAGTTCTTCTAAGACTATTTGTTACACCAGAAACTAAAGATAATTTTTTTGCCCACAAATAGCTAGTCAAGTCATTTCTTGAATCTTTAGGGTGAGACCCACCTCAGGGGCCACATCCTTTCTCCTCCTAGTGTTGTGAGCAGGTCACTCCGATGTGGTTAGAGAATGTTCTGAAAACTCTGCCAAGAGCCTCCTCCTGATACCAGTCGGCACTCTCCTTAGATCAGGGGTTCTCAGCCCCGCTTGAACATTACCATCACCTGAGAGCTTTTTATTAAAACAAAACAAAACAAAACAAAACAAAACACCCCACAAAAACACTCTGGGCCAATTACTAAATCAGAATCTTGGAAAGGTGAGGGGAGGTCAGGGACCAACATGTTAGCAAAAACAATCAGCCCAGATGATTCTAACATGCAGCCAGTATAGAGAACTACTGCCATACACACATGAGGTTAGTTTAATTTAGTCAGGTAAGCATAATAGAAAAATTTACCTTAAAAATCTTCAGCATGCAGAGGGAGCCACTTTGGAGACAGGTGTGTGAGTGTGCGTGCACACACCCACGTGGGGTGGTCGTGCCGGTCTCCCTGCACGCTGTGCGCTTTCCGTCTCTGGCACGCGGTGGAAACACGGCCAGTGGCGCTCCCTGGACCCGGAATCAGGTTGATTGTCAGAGGCAGACCATGCCCAGGGCCCTGGGAGTTTGCTGCAGAGGCAGGTACATGCCTCAATAAAGAAGCAAGTTTCTGGCTTTCTGTCTTCACTTCCAACCACCCCACACCCCCTCTCCCGTTTCTTGCACTTGCTGCTTTGCTTAACCTCCTAAATTAAGAGGCTTAATGTGAAATCCGTAGCCTTTTTGAGGAAGCACATTCAAGCCTTAGATTTGTTTTCTTCCTTTAAAAAACATAAAAAGCCCTGTGAGCACCTTACATATAAGTGGAATGAACGTATTTTCCCCACTAATGTTGAAAATATCCCCAGGCATCTGGTGTGTATGAATGTGTATAGAGAGTACATGCATAATAAACATATCCCACCTTATGAATATTTATACACAAGATACATATATATTGAGTGTAGACATACATATGTAAATAGTAGCCCTTGTAAACTATCTGCAAAGTGTGTTTCCAAGCATATGTATTCCAGTGTATCAGGAATATAATAAACCTCCCACCAAGCTTAGCATATTTTGAGGTGGCATTTTCTACAGAGTTGTTTATGGTAGGGTCTAGTTACCATCCTTGTATGGGTTTTTCCCATCACCTAGATGTTTGTTAAGTACTGACTAAAAATAAGGCACCGGGCATGGCAGAGTAAGAGAGATAAGAAAGATGTCCCTACCTCCGAAAGGCCTGTGCCTCACAGAGTGGCTTCAATTTCAGCTACGAAGAATCTGACATTGTCCTGCCCGCCAGCACTTTACTACCTTCTTACACCTGCCTTTCTGTATACTCCACATTAACACAGGCCCCCTTTAAGGCTGTGTGAAATCCTCATGGAGCTGCAGACTAGCACTGATGCAGTGAGAAGAAACATCGCTGGTTTCTCTGTCACATGTAGTTCAATCTTTTAACTGTGTTTTTATTTTACTCTGATTGGGTGGTGGTGGTGGTGGTGGTGGTGGTGGGGGTACCATACAGAGGCACTAAATCCCAGCGATATTGATCAATCTCAAAAATGAAACCAAAACAGAGCCATCTCTCCCCCTCACAAACTTCTCAAAACCCACATACTACCGCCTATGACATTCCACTTCCAAATTGAATCCAGTTCCCACCCTGCCATAAGTAGCAGCAGCCTTTATTGAAAACAAGCTATCCATTCTCGATCGCACCCAGCACGGATCCCTTTCTAGAAGGACAGTCCCCGTCCAGCCGAAGCGCTCTGAGTGACACGTGTCAGCGGGAAGATCTCACTCCATTAGGGGAGAAACAGCCCGTGGGCGCTGTCACCGCTGTGCCTCAGACGTGCGCTCATTGTTTCCTCCGCCTCAATCCATACATCACAACAGGTAGTTCTCAGCTGCTCCCCTGGTGCCAGACATACATTTTATCTAAAGAGACAGCAGACAGAACTACCTGCTGCTTCCTGTGCAGCTCTCCCTGTGTTTCTCTCCTCTTTTCTACTTCGCTTGGGCTTTTAAAAACCAGCTGGCAGGGAGCCAGGAGCTCATCATTTTAATGCAGTGCAAAATGGAATATGCATAATTATATGCAAGCCATATGTGAGGGAGACAGCTCAGCTGTGAATTTCAGGAGGCCAGGAAGGAGCGAGCAGTTAGGGCTACGATGAGATGAGAGCAGAGCCGAGTGCAAGTGTCACCCAAATGAGTGATTTAATGAGTGTGCTGCAGACACGCCTCCGTTCACCTACCTCTCCCTTCTCTCCAACTCCAAACCAGCAACCGGTGGAGATTAGAAAGAGAAGACTGTATGCAAGCGGTATTGCTGATGGGTTCTGTTCATGTCTCCATTTACACTTCAGCTTTCTTAATTAACAGCGTAGATCAAAATAACCAGTAACTTTTAATGCAGCTTCTTAATTAAATCTATTTTTTACTGCATTTGATTGAAGAATCATTGTTCTTACGAGATCATTGCTCCTTTCGGATTTTTATTTAAAAATCGAGGGGAATCAGTTTATCTCTAATAGTATTACAATGCAAAATATAACTATGCAAATTGCTTTTCTTATGGCCTTGCTATCAGAATTTTTTAAAAGTGCATTATCTAGAGATTGCTTAAGCATGCCAAAAAGTTTAAACACATATGTATGTCAGATAATCCTAAATGTACAACCAAAGTCACCGAAAGACTACAGTGGTGGCAATTTCCAACAAAATGATTTACTGTTGGTTTGCTTAATATTTAAAAATGTTAAATATTGCACCACAAGGAATTTGCATGTTCAAACTAAACTATGTGAAGAAAAATAAATCCCAAATTTTGATATCTAAAAGGCATACTGCGTGTTTAAACAAACTTCTTAATGATGTTGTTATTTCTGGATTCCCGTTTGTTTAATGATCTGAGCTGTTATGCTTTTAGCTTTTTTTTTTTCTTCCATTATTTGTAAGTCCCTAAATAGGCCATTATATTTCCCTTCAGGCTAGAGATGAAGATGGACATGCTGAAAATTTCCCCCAGCAGCACTATGCTAAGGAAACTCCAAGGCTTGCCTTCAAGAATAACTGCGAACTACTTGTAAGAATAATATACTTACAACAAGTCTAGAATGTTACTTTAGCACAGTGAAAACAGTTTTTGAAAGGGTTTGTTCATTATTACATAATTTATGAAGTATTATAGTTTTTTCTGTATAGAGTTCTAAATGCTAATTCTGATATCACTGAATATTAATTATAAGATCTCAAGTTGTTTGCAAATCTTTTATATCTGATTATAGAGCTTGGATGGCCCTGTCTTTATTAGCTTGTTTTGTATAGTAGTTTATAAGCAGCCGTTTGGAGAATGGCTAGTAAAGTTAAAAATATAGAGAAATGCAGTTGATACATGGAGCTTGGAAAAAAAACAGTCCCACCCCCACCCTCCTCCTACTTCCTAATTGTGCACTATTTTAGGAGACGACGTGGTAATATTTTGTTCTGCTAGGAAAGATAGCAGGGTTGACATGCAGTACTCCCTTTAGCATTCAAGTATTCCTACAGCCTCTTGCCAAACTCAGTCAGGCACTTTCGTCTCTCCTAAGTAGAAGTCAAAGCAGCGACAGGATGCGGGGATGTTTACAAGTCGTGAGAGAGAGGATATCAGCTGTGACAGGGACTCCGTTCCAACGCAGGGTTAATTTGCTGTTCATTTTAGCATTTACAGCGAGACAAGATGAAAAGCAAGCAGGAATGCCTATTATATTTCTATTAAATGAATCTGTTGGGACCTAATATTCTTGATTAGCTTTTGAAAATGAGTACTCTGCAATGCATTTTCTGTTTACCTAAAGTAAACAGAGAATGAATTGTCATTTATTTAGAGATTCACATACTGCTTTGGAAAATGAAGCTTTATGAGGGATCGAGCTATGTTGTCCCTAAATGTTCTTTTCTTTTCAATTGCATTAAAGCAAAACATTTGCTCCCACTAAATGCAAACGCTGAAAGAGAATGAGGATGTCCAGTTGTTACACTTCGAAGTAGTCTCATTTCTGTGTAGTTTTTTGGCAGAACACAGTGCTGCCCTGCCAGGTCTCAGCATTAGGAAATCCCACATGTAACAGTGTTTGGACTTAGCTCTGATACCAAGTATTCATTAAAAACAAAGTGTCCAAAGAGCAGGAGAAGAGAGAAAAATACAGTTTTTACCCAGTCCAGCCGCAGTAGTTAGATGTTGACAGCAAGAAACTCCTTTCCCAGCCCCACCGTCTGCGCGGTTACAATAGCACCACTCATTCTCTGCGTGGAGTCCCTTGACCAGCCAATCCGCAGGCAAATTTGCTGCTTGTAAATGCAGTTTTTCCCCTGAAAATGGAGCTACCTTGTATTTTATCTTAGGGCTCTTAAGCTTCCAGGCCTGCTAGCATTACCTCTTTGGGGGAAACCCTTTACATTCGGTTCCGTTTTAATGTTATCCAGCAGGAAACCAGAGGGGCCATGTAGGCTATGTTTTGGTATCAGAATGCTTTTGGGAGTCACTTACTACTTTTTGGATAAATTGTTACAAGTGCTATGCCCTATTTGGTTTTTTTCTTTTTTATTTACTAGAAAAATTAATGTGCCCGAGTCTTGGTTGTGGTCATTGTATACTAGAGGAAAAGTAAAACGTACATGTGAAGTGTTCTTCAGCTATCTTTAGAGAAAATATACGTTTAGTCCTTGCTGTGCTTAAGCACAACATTGTGTTGGCAGTAGTTTTGAGAGGTTGGTACAATCTTAGTTCTTCTAAGCCACTGTTAGAAATGTGTTATTTTTGGTCAGCATATGATAAAAGAAAAAGGAGAAGAAAGAGAGAAAAAAAACAAAACAAGTAAGCTTATGTTCTCCAAGGAGAAATCAATTTTTTTTCAGCTGCAAGAGAAGCAATGGTTTTTGGCTGGTTATGAAGCCCTTAGAAGCTTTGCTTCTATATGAAAGAGACCTGTTCATTATTAAGAAAGAAATAGGAAGTCCTTGGAGTTTTCTTAGTGCAGCTCAGAGCAAATTTGTAAAGAATTCATGAGAGGAGATTGCAGGCTCGCTCCAAAGTGCTTTCTTAGCTTAAGGCTGGTTCTACCATCGTGCATGGTTCCCGGCAGTAAGAGCAGTGGGCAATTTACAAAGTGGGGGAGCCCTGGGGGTGCCCATGGCTCTTGGGAGAAAGCATTGAGGGCACAGGTTACTCCTAGGCTCCCAGGCGATCAGGAGCTCATGGCTGGAAGACTAACCCTCTGGGCCACAGGTGTTGACAGAAAGTGCCCTGGCCAGGTAGCCTCAGACTCTGTTATTGACTCTTGATTGTCTCTGACCTCCACCCACACCCCCAGCCTCTGCTTCTCGGAAGGGAGGGGAATATGAAGGAACCCAAACAAAAGCAGAATAAAATCAAATGCTGGGACATACAAGTATGTGCCATCAGCAGGCACCGACAAAGAAAGCACTGGCTGGTAGGAAAGTCTGCTCTGCAGCTGTAGATTTCCTGTAGGGCATTGATATTCCTGTTTAAATCCCAAACTGTGATATGTGCCCTCACACTTAATGTCTGGCACGGATGACTGTTTAGTCCGGTGGCCAAGGCTCTCTGTTGCTTTTTATTAATTTTGAAAATACAAGGCTGTCAAGGTGAATGACATCAGATAAAACTCGAGTACTGAATTCAGGGTGGCCCCGTCTTCCTCCTCATAGATAGGTGTACACACACACACACACCCATACACACACACCCATACACACACACACACACCAGGGTATTTTGCTGGCATATCTAAATTTATGACCAAGGCAAATAACTTTCAATAAAAGAAACTGTAAGAAATTCACCTCACATTAACATCACAGCAACATGGGAGCCCAGAAGAGGAAATATTTAGAGCCAAGCACGGGTGACTAGCCTTTGCCCCAAATTTCAACACCAATGTTGGTCCCTTTACCATTATTGCCGCATTCTTTTGGGACTAGTGGGCCTTCTCATTTCCTCGATGGAAATGCTCATATCGATGGTGGGAGGTGGATTAAGAGCTAGAGAGGAGGACCTTAATCATATATGAGCTCACAACCTTCTCATCAGCCGGTACTTTCTCAGTCCCTGAGAGCCAGCTGGGAGTAAGACCTTGCAGAGTTACAACATTAGCAGGGTCCTTGGAGGGAGAGGACCTGTAACTAGAAGAAAAATGTTGAAAGGGTTTAGGGGAAGGAACTGAAGGCAATTGAGCCTATTCCGTAAGTGTTTCGGGCCAGTCCAGAGAACATCACTGCATTCAGGAAGAAGGTCAAACTATAGTCAAAGAACAGCAGCAACGATGTAGTGTAATTTGGTTGGAAAGAAAGCAGGTTTAGGAAGTCTGAAAGGGGAAGTAAGAGAAAGGAAACTCAGTGGGGGGGCAGCGGGGGGAGAATCAGCCTGTCTTCCTCAGTTTCGGATTCCCAAGACATTATCCAAAGTCCGACTCCCTTGGCATTTCCTAAGGCTGTGAGGGATGGGGGTTTACAGAGGGAGAGGGAGGGACCCACAGCTGGGAGGTGAATAAAAATAGCACGGGGAAGAATTCTTTCTGGTCACTTACAGTGCCAGCGTGGGGAGAAGATAAAAACTATTTTAGTTTGGTGGCCTTCTGGACATGTTGGGAGATGTTGGGGAGGAGAGATGCTTAGGCAGTTCCGGGGGCTGGTTTCCATCTCATTTCCTTGTGCAGGCAGACTGGTAGATGACAAGAACTGGACCTAGTCCTTCGTCAGCACTGCGAACACCCACAGCTCTGTAGTAATACAGGGTCCGGTTAACAAGATGTTATGTAGCATCTTCTGTGTATAAGGCGCTATACCAGACCGTGCTTGTGGGGCACACAAAATAGAAAAAGGCACAGTCCCTGCCCTGAAGGAGCGTACAGTTCAGTAGGAAGATGAGGTTAAACAGTGTTATAGTCATCGGGAACGTGGACTGTCAGGTCTTTCTGAAAGTTAGAATTTGGCCCCAGCTAGACCTTAATTTACGCTACGTCACTCTGATGGTATAGCGCAGTGGTCGGCAAACCGCGGCTCGTGAGCCACATGTGGCTCTTTGGCCCCTTGAGTGTGGCTCTTCCACAAAATACCACATGTGGGCGCGCACGTACAGTGTGATTGAAACTTCATGGCCCATGCGCAGAAGTCGGTTTTCGGCCTAGGCGAGTCTATTTTGAAGAAGTGGCGTTAGAAGAAGTGGGGGGTGTTGGTCGGCGCGGGGCCTCATGTCAAAGAAAATAGTTTTCTAGATTAATGTTTTTCCTTGTCAAGAATTGCATGGCTTGAAATTTTGTGTCTAAAACCGTGGTCGGCAAACTGCGGCTCCTGAGCCACATGCGGCTCTTTGGCCCCTTGAGTGTGGCTCTTCCTAAGCCTTAGGAGTACCCTAATTAAGTTAATAACAATGTACCTACCTATATAGTTTAAGTTTAAAAAATCTGGCTCTCAAAAGAAATTTCAATCGTTGTTCTGTTGATATTTGGCTCTGTTGCCTAATGAGTTTGCCGACCACTGGTATAGCGTAAGGATCATGGGCACAAAGGCTTAACATTTATGGCGCCACATCTGGCATCACATCACGTTGGATCTGTTTCCCCCTTGGACTTCTCTGAGCTTCAGATCTTCATCTGTTCAATGTAATAATAAATGGTAGTAACCTCAGAGGGTGTTGTAAGGATTGAAAGTGATGACATACTTACAGTGCCTGGTACACAGTGACATATTAGCTGCTATTATTATGATTCTTCTTATTCTCATGATTGTTATCATTACATAGTGAGCTGTGCCCCAGGAGAGCACCAGCAAAGCTCTGGAGTCCACAGGAGGAAGAGATTACTTCCATATGCGGTAATTAGAGACTTACCAAAGGGGATAACTTTGATCCAGGCCTTACATGGGTTGGATTTTGATAGTCGGAGCAGGGGTATAAGGGGAGAGGGGTTCCAGGCAGAGGGAAATAGTATGGGCAAAGGCAAGGAGGTGGGAAAGTACAGGCCAGGTGACCCACACCTCAGTTGGCATCTAAGTTGGCTGGAGGGTAGAATAACTGAAGGATAA